TCTGGAGGGTACCACATTGCTTACCCTGACATATAACCTTGTGATAACTGCTTTTCCGTGGCACAGTCACACGCCTCATATGTGCATGGTTTATCCACAGGGACCTTTTCCATCCAGTCAGCATTCTCTTTGCTGACAGTATGCTAAGCAGGTCATAAAGGTCCATATGGATTTGCTATCCCCACACACTCCCCCAATGGCATGGGAGGAAGACATTGGGGGAGAGGGCCTTGCCCTTCTGTGGAGGCATCAAGGAGGTTTCTGTGAGGCACTGGGTCTGGTAATTATCGAAGGAGATAATACATAAAGCAGCATGGAAAACTGGCAGCAGTGCAGCATCTGCTGGCAACCCTCCTCTGCCAAAACACTGCCTCTGCAATGGAAATGCTTTATTTCAACGGTATATTCCACTCTCCTGGAGTGAAAGCCTCATTCAGTGACACCCAGTGCCCCGAGCTTGCCTGCAATCCTTCTTGTCTTTCCTTCCTTGTTACTTCAGGAACAGCTGATACAAATGCTAGTGCAGTAATTATCACCAAGCCCAAGAGACTTGTTTCTACAAATTTTATGGCAATTCCATTTTGAAATCCAGACTCCTGGCATCTGGCTTCTCTCTTCTTGCATCCAGAATTGGAAATGCAGCTCAAAACAGCCCAACAGCCTGAATAAATTTTGTTAGCTTCAGTCTGCAGTTGTTAAATGTTTTTGCCAAGATCTCCCACAAACGAACTAGATTCATTCATGAGCTCTATTATACTGCAAGGGTGGAGAACTTCAGCCCTAACCCAGCATCCCTGAGATCCCTGTGTTCTCTTCCTCCCCTGTCCCACTGTTTCATTTTGGTTTCCCAGCTTTTGTGCAGTTTTACTTATTCATAAATGTTGAAATGTCTCTTAAAAGACTGAGTTAGCAATAGGAGTTGCAATCTACAATAGGCCGGACTGTTTCATATTTTTTATCATTATTGTGGCTTCTCCCCTTTTATTTATTTGATTTATATCCTGGATTTTTTCATTTTTTGAAAGACTCAAGGCAGCTTACATCATTCTCCTTCTCCTGCTCTGCATCTTATCCCATAACAACAACCCCATGAGGTAGGTTGCTCTGAGAATCTGTGATTGGCCCAGAGTCACCCAGTTGGCTCCATGGTCAAGCAGGGACAAGAGTTGCAGTCCGGCTCATTTAACCACTACACCACACTGTCTCTCCCTTTGTCTTTGGTCCTAACCCACCACTGAAATGCAGTGTCTTTTATATTGTTATTTATTTTATATTGTTAATTTGATATTGTTATTTTTGTATTTTATTGTATTTTATTGTGTTGTAAGCCGCCCCGAGGCTTCGGCAAGGGGCGGCATAGAAATGTTTTAATAAATAATAAATAAATAAATTCTTGGGCTGAAAAAGGCTCCCCATCCCTATATTACATAATCTTTCGATGACTCAAAAGTGATGGCCTTCTACTCCTTGAAGGGCTTATGGCCTTGAAAGACCAACTTTCCCTACCTGAATTTAATCATCCCTCTTGTAAATGAAGAAAAAGAAAATCCCATCATAGCAATGCCTGAAAAGTCTATTCCAACCTTCCCCAACCTGCTTCCCACTGAATGTGCCATGGGCATGTTGGGAGTTGCACTGCAGCACATTTTGGAGAGTGCTGTGTTGTGTAAATCATCTCAACACAGATGTGACCTGCTAAGCTTCCAGGCAGGATGGGCCAGCTAACCACAGGCCTTATGCCAGCTTCCTCAAACTCAATTCAGTCTGTGCTCATTTCAAACAAGTTAATTTGAACCCAGTGTAACTGAGATCAAAATTAAGCTATTTTAATATTAAGTATTTTAATGATAACATTAAATATTAAATACTATTTTAATTTAACATTAATAATTTATTATTATTGGCCATATTCCAAGTTTGAGCCAGTGCAATCTGGAATAAATGGCAACCTCCATACCCTAAAGCCACTCTGATACTCCATTCCCTTTCCCATGGATCCTGTCCCCAGGATGATCCAGAGGTAAAACCATGGGTCCAGTGGAGGCCACATTTCAAAGCTTCTCTGCTATCTGCACCTTGAAAGGTTTGGACAGGAAAGGGAAGGTGGTGGCCAACAGCATGTTCAGACCTTTAGGTGTCAGGCCTAAATTTCCATGGGCTTCCATACTAAGCTTGAGAATCTCTGAAATATGGAAGCTTTGTTGAATCTGACCAGACAATGCAAAATCACATCAGCAGCTTGCATCCACACAGAAGGCTGAATGAAAGTCAACACCTACATGCTCTGATTGTGCTGATTCATCTACCACGGCTGCACAACAGCATTTAGGTATGACAGTCCTTCTCCTGCACAACTGTGGCTGACCTTCCCAACTAGGAAAGCCTTCACAGCACCTATTGCCCATTCATTCACTGAATACACCTTCTGAGTACAGATGTAAATCAAAGCAACATGCTCCATGCACATATGAGAATTTCTTGTTATCTAGATGATCCATTCCTTTGCTCATGGAAGACAATGGTGAAACTCCTTGGAGTGCAGAGCTTTACCAGCTAAGTTTGGATGTGCTGAAATGGCTATTGTAATAATTTGAAACCCAGGCAGACCCAAAACATATTTCTGAAGCATGTTCGGGTATGAAGTATTTTGCTGACCTTTGAAACACATTTCTCTCTCTCTGACACTGATGTTACTTGGACTTTTGTAAGTATCTGCTCTAAGAAAGGATAGTTTCCCATTAAGGACCAACAGCCTGCAGCTCATATGAAGGGAGAAAATATGAAATATCTGAGCATAAAGTACTGCTCATTATGGGATGGGGGGGGTGCAAAGGGAAACAGGTTTGTGTGCTTTTTGTCTGAATTTGGCAAAGAGTATAAAGGACCATCTTCCCAGGCAAAATTTGTTTTCTTCTAATATATAAGCCTTGGATATTGACTTCAGAGCTTCATTTTCACCTGCTCCAACAAAGCTTACTTTGGAAGAACAAAACTGACTAAACTATTCAGAAAGCAGAAATGTAGAAGAGGGAAGATCTACATAAAATGTAAATCGCAGCGTGGCAGGTACTTGCACAGAACAGATGTATAATCATGTACTGAATACTAATCATTTTCTATCCTAAAATGATTCCTTCTTGCCTAAATGAGGCAGTATTACTTCGACACAGAATACATTTGATTTATTCCCTAACAAATTGCATCGGACTGCCCTTGGTGGGTTACAAAGTCTCAGCACTGAAATGAATTGTTAAATATAATTATCACCAACTTCAATCTATATATAGATATATAGCATTAAGTACTAGTCATTAAATTAAAGGAGTTATCCAGTAATTAGGGGTGGAGTGAAGGAGACACTGGCTCTATAGATGGCTTTTGAATTGGTTTAGGCCATGCTTCCTCAACCTGGTGCCCTCCAAATGTTTTTGCCTTCAACTCCCATCAACCCCAGAAAGCGTGGCTAATACTGGGAATCATGGCACCAGGTCTGGGAAGGCTGGTTTAGGGGAAGAATCTCTACTCTTTTAAAACAAACAAGTTGAATGGAGATGCTGTGTGACAGAAGCAGAAAACACTACGGTTGTTCTATCATTCCTCAGATTTCATTTATGAAATTATAATCTGACCCCTGGTTTTAACTGGATAGTAGACAGTCTCGTATTGAACATTTTCCAATGGTTCAATTGAACCAGGTAACACAGGGTCACCTTTGCCATGATTCTACCATTGATCTTTCAGAATCATGGCAAATCAGTAGAAGTGCCTTTTCCCTTTTCAAAATTCTTCTTGCCAAAGCCTGCCTTCCAGTTGTACTGAATTCCCCTTTAATCATCTCCTTGAGCTGCTAGAAGAATGTAGTCTTTAAAAATGCAGGATATTGGTTTAATTGTAAATTGATCTGTCTCTTTGCAAAATGACCGGCAGTCAGAAAATATGGCCATAAAATAAATCCAATCCTTGCACATTTCCCCTCTTTATGTCAAATACAAGCAACACAATCATATACATGTCTACTCAAAAGTAAGTCCCACTGGGTTCAATAGGGCCTCCTCCCATATAATAGGCTATAGAATTTCAGACTTAATAGACTTCTTGTTGTTGTTGTTGCTAAATGTCTAAATAAGAAATGTTATGAGATAGCAGCACTGTCTTCTTGGTGATGGTTCATAGCACTATTGGGGAGTTGGTGTTTCTTTCTGCAGTCTTGGAAGTCAACTGCTCTTTCCAATCCTAAATATTTGCTCTCAAAAAAGCAGCAACATCTTTGAAACAGGACATTGGGTTGATTATAATATTTTAAGAAACGCAGCAATATCACTAAATCTCTGCTTAAAGAGTAGTGGACCCATGTAGCAAATTCCCATCCAGAACCATGGATTTTTATTGAAAAGTTGAGAACACCCATACACAGCAATGACTGCACTGTCTTTGAAATTAGACACATCACTCCTCTGTGCCACTGCAAGGAAATCATCTGTCTGGAGTGATGCTGAATCCATACAGCCTATTTGCCACAGGCTCTTCAATTATGAGCTCAGGCAACTCTTAGATTATGTCACCTAATCCATCATTAGCTTTCACGTGTCCTGTACACCACGCAACAAACCTGAATTTAACCACTCACAACTCGTACGCAATGACTCCGAACGTATTTCACCAGAGCATAGGTGGGAATGCATGCAGGATCCCAGCTTTTCTTTGTGCCTTTTAAACATTCTTAGGGTACTGTCAAGCACTGCTGTGCTTATATTTGTTGCCCTCCCTTCTTAATCACTTAGCATACGCTCTGCTATCGCAGAGTGAGGAGCGATTAGAAAACAACAGAGAGCTTAAATAATCATAGTACAGCCGGGAAAGCCATCTGTCATTAAATGTGCACAAACTGATACTCTCCAATAAAAATTGTTCAGGAGACATATTACTAGATAGGCGCATCAGCTGCCAATATTAAATGCAGCTAAAGGCAATACGGTTGGATACCCTTCTCCTTCACTTACCCGTCTTCCATAAATACACAGATGAAGTTTCAAATTCACTTTGTGTCTTAGCTCCCTGGATTCCAAACATGAGAAGCGCAAGAACTCCAATCCACTTGCTTGAAAGCGCAGAAGTCCCTGGACCACCGGCTAAAGCTGTGTTCCTCTCTCTCAGCCCCATGCCTTCCAGAAGCCTGCTTCAGTGTCAAAATCTGCCGCACAATAGATAACCCTTGCGTGAGTGATCTCTCTCCCCTTCTGAATTTCTTCACAGGGCGGGCAGAAGGGAAATGGCTTGCCAGCTATTGTGCATGCCAGTTGAAAAGGAAAAACTGTTTAACACCAGGGAACAATAGAGCCCTTGCTTGCTGCCGCCACTGCTGCTGGTGCTGCGGCTGCTGGTACTGTGGTTGTTACTTCACTCTCCCCCATTCAGTGGGTAGTAGCAGTTTCCATCAGCTGAGAGAGAGAGACAGCTGTCCACAGGGGGCTCCAGCTGACTGAGCAGGTTATCTTGGTCTGGGAGGCAGCAGCCCTCATTTACACCAGCTGGAGAGAGAGAGGGAGGGGGAAGAGAGAGAGAGAGAGAGAAGGGGAGGGAGGAAGAGAAAAGAGAGGAGGGGGAAGAAGAAACACAAATAACCAAATGCTATAATTGAACGCAGAAGAACAACTGCAAACACTGTTTTTTGATACGTTGAGGTGCTTTGGCAAATCTGTCAGAAGAATGTCCAAAACTGTACACTTATGTAATTCACATTGTTTTTTAAAATCGAGAATGAGCAAATTTGAGACAGGAAAGTCACAACTGTTCAACACCAATTATTTCCCTGTTCTTTTAAAGCAAGTTGCCAGCGTGTGATTCCCACTTAGTTTAGCTGACATGCATGTGGTACAAAATGTAGTTGCCAAAGAGGAGCGTTACTTTGAGGACAGCAGACATGAAGAATTTCCCGTGTGTATAGACAGTCAAAATGCTGATGCACAAGCTGAGTATAAGAGCTAGTGGGGATATTTAATCATGCAACTGATTATATCTCCTCTTCTTATTCCAGAAATATACGGGCATTTTTTTAAAACCTGCCTAATGTTTTAATCTAGTTACTTACCCATTTCTGTCATATCTAGATGCGAAGAAGGAATAGGCAAAATATCTCATTAAAAGAATTCATGCATTTGAATGAACCTTGCAATTGCATGTCTAAGACAGGCAGCAGTTCTAAAAACAAATGTCCTTCCTCCAAGAATGTTTTCATGGCTGCATGTGTATGTGTAGAGCCCCACGTTGCATTCCCATCTCTGTCCTAGCTGCCTGAATAATGTATATGTTCACAAAATATAAACTGCATGTCGAGTCAAAGTGATTTTGAGATGCAATTACCACTGAGTGTGTTTGCAAACACAAAATGAGGATGTATTGAATGGCTCCTGTTCTCAGTGTGTTAGCAGGCTGAACCAGACTGAAGAGAAGGCAGAAAGGGGCAAAAAGTAGCAATGGTGTTTTTCAGCAGAAAGTATTATTTTAAATTTGCCACCAACGAAATGGAACAAAAGACAATGCTAGTCTACTGTATGTTCCTGCATATCCAGAAATGGAAAGGGGGGAAAAACCACACACACACACACACACACACACAGAGCATTCTGAGAGCAGCTATTGTAAGACTGGGGGGGGGGAATCCCTCCCCCTTTAAAAAAAAATCAAGCAGCAGAGCAACTGGAGAGTTTTAAATGATAAAACTTCTCTCACTGAGAAACCTTCAACAAGCCTCTCTTGAGAATGCTGTCATTTTACAGCACCTTCCTAGACTCATCCTCTTCTGCAGGCACTGGGTTTAAAAGCAGCCTTGATCAAATAATTCCCAGGTCCTATGTCTGTTTAAATATTCTGACATCAGAGCAAATTAGCAATGTTGAAGGTTGCAAATTTGTCTTTGTTTACTTTCCACTCTGTTACGCCTCTAAGAGGGAATTAAAGGCTCAGGAAGCCCTAGCACTGTGAGGTTGTGATTAAGAGAGATAAGCAAGTGTGGATTACTGCTCCTCAGCTGTTGAAAAAGAGGCAACAATCAGGAGATTATAGGTTGATAAGGGATACATAGAAAGCCAGGAGCCTAACCAATGCATAGCATCTCAGCACAAGCTCCTGTCCAGTCAAAAGGAGAAGCACTTTCTAGTATTCCATTACTCTGTTCTTGTTAATCTCACATCCAGAAAATATTGCCCTTGCTATCCCCAACAAAGCTTTTTTAAAAATCAGGAAACAGACACCATCTGGATTTTAACAGAAACCGCTAAATTCAAAAGGTTGTTTTGGCCTTTTAAAATATTTTGAGCTTAAATAAAGACCCTCTTTTGAATTCCCAAATCAAATTTGAACAGCCAGTTGTTTTGATCTATACATTAATTCCTAAGCACAGAAGTATGTGAAACTGAGGTTTGCTGTGACTATTAATTCTGGCTCAGTATTGTGTCTTTACACCACTTTGAATGAGAGGGAGCTTTTGAACTTAAGAGCAAAGAAGTGTCTCAGTGGGGAACTCTGAACTAGAGGCCAGTTGTTAGTGCTCAAGGAGTCGCAAGGGGTGGAAAATCAGAACTCAAAAATAGTTCAAAAAAGAAAAGCAAAAGCACCTCTCTACTAGTACCTTATTTCTATGACTGTGATACATTTCATATGTAGAGCAGACCGCTGCACCCTTCCCCTTTTAAAAGCTGCCCCTCCATACGAAAAGCCCTTTCCCAAACCTATTTAGTCATTTAATAGCCTGCCTTTCCACCAAAAAGGCCCTCACGGTAGCAAAATAAATAAATAAAACGACGCAAGTAATTGGATGGCATACAAATTTCATAAATAAATAATAAAAATTTTAAAAACCCAGGATAAGAACAAATCACAATGAAAACATAAGAACAAATAAATTAAAAGCATAAGGAAACACAACAATAAAATGAACCACACTCCAGCTTTTTATAATGTGGGACACATCTGAAGGAACTTCTAACAAAATGTGAGAAAGAAAAAGCAAGTTTCATTGAAATGCATGCAGAAGCACTTGTGCACAATCAGTCGGTATTTAGATCCCAGTCAACACTGGCAGTTTCAGAAAAGTTCTTTCTGTATTATTGAATATAAATAATGCAAATGCAGAAACATTTTTAAAAAGGAAGAAAAAGAATAGGGCACCAATACCATCTAGAAGTTCTTCTCAGAAAACACAATTTACCATTTCTCAACTTGGATGAATCATTTGATACAGACATGCCACTGTATGGAGAAATCTATAACATATCCATTGGCGAACATTGCCTAATAATATCAGGCCAGATATAATGCAGGCAACCTTAGACATGTTTTGCCTTAGAAAGTGCACAAAATGCTCATGATATTCACTGAACCACAAGAGTAATCAAGCACTCAACACTTAAATGGCACCTCTGGTTATCTTACTGCTAATGTTCCAATCATTTTTCTCACCAAATCAATTTTCATAATAGGGTGCTATTGGTTGGAATGCATCACTTCAATAGAATGGCTGTCTGCTTGTCATAAATCTTTACTAACTAATAAATGTAACCTATTGCAGAAAACAACAACAAAGACAATCTAGATCAGCTCTGAGTCAAAACAGAGATATAGACTCTGTGAACATTCTTATCCCTGTGAAATGTATCACCACCTTATGGCCACATTTCACACTCCATTTGCAAGAAGGTGCAGTCCTGTTTGCAAGGAGGCAAAGGTCAGGAGAAGAAGGAATATGTCTTCATTGCTGGAGCAACCAAGTCAGTTCCTCCTTGCCCAAATCTAATCGTGACCAAATCCATAATACACTCTGAAAAGTACCCTTAGTGGTTGCCCATTCTTCTTGGTCAAAATGTAGATGAGAAGGATGTGCTTTCAGGTGCATATCCAAAAAGGGTATCCCATTCCAAGGAATCCATTACTGATTGAAGACATCCACTTTTAGATGCACAGATATGCACCTACACATCCAAATTGGATAGACCTCTGTCGGAACTACATCCCTGTCAATAGATGACCATTCCCTTGGGTGGACATCCAAAAGCACCTCCTCATTATCATCTGCATTCTTACCAAGTAGTCACCTAAACATGTCTTGATCAAAGTAAAGGACTCTAAGCCCAGTCATCTCCAGACTATTGCTGTATCAGGAAGAAAATCTTCCTGGACAAACTGACACACAATGAAACTGTCAGTATGACATGGCCGAGCAAGCAAAGAAGATACGTTGTCTTTTAGTTCATACCCCCAAACCCTGACCCAATGGCAGCAAATTGCGGGTGTTGGGGGGGGGGGGTTACTACAAATGGCCATGAAGACTTGCATAACCCAATGGAAGATGGATGCGTTTTGCAAGTATTACTTTGTACACACAACGAAAATCAAGAAAATTCAATGCAACACAAGCCCATACTCTCATTTGCTCCTGTGAAGAAAGCATAATAGATGCAGAAAGCATAATAGAGCAACATGACTACAACAACAATATTGATATTAACATGGTGCAAGTAGCCAATGCAAGTAAAATTGCCAGCCATTCACCACAGGGGGCACAGGCCTATTTTCCCAAAGGGCCTCTCTGCCTTTGTGTGATGGAAGCTGCTTCCCATCAACATCTCCTCATAATGAGAAAGTAAAAGCAACAATCACGGATCATATGGAATGAGTCTGCAGAGTGCCTCTTTCTCATCACAACATTGCTTCCCATATTCAGATGTGGTGATTCTGGCATAAGTAGATGCCCCATGGCTGACTTCTCCCACATTTTGTTCTGATGTTTCTGGAGAAGTATAGCAAGGACATGTAGGTAGTAGCTATAGAGTACTCCCACTTCATTCCACACATCATCCAAATTAGGATAACAGATCATTGTGATATTCTCTTTAATAGTTTCTTCATCTTCATTTTTAGTTTCTTCCACATCTTCCAAATATCTGCAATTTTCTTCCTCTATATGCTCTTCCTTGGAACGTCTGTCCTTCTGGTGACCTTCTGCACAAGTGAGCTACAGAATATTGTTCTTTTTTTTCTTACTTTCCGTGACAGAAATAAACATAGTTGTGTGGACTTCCAATCCACAGAGTTTATGGACAAGAACATTGGAAGTGCCAAGAACCTCTGGGGATACTGCGGATGGTGAATGCAACTTTCTCAGTGCTCTTAAAAGGATAGAAACAAAGTGGATGCCAACGTTTGTGCCTAGTTAATTTTAATTAGTCTGAAACGAGGCAAAAACTGAATACTGAGAATTCCACCCTGAAAACTGCAGCTTCCATTCCTAAGTTCACTGTTTTTTCCTAAAATTTGCTTACAAACTATGCTTGCATAACTAAATATGACCCTATTCTTGCATGATTTTAATTTGGCCTATTTATGAGACCATAAAACAATAGGTGTACAAACAAAAGAGAAAAAAGTCCAACAGCACCTACTGT